GTGACTTGAACTACATGTGGCGTCTGGGGGACCCGAATAAGTATATGGCATCCGCTAGTGGCGCGTCGGAAAATTGGTGCATATTGGAGTGGTTTGAGTACATCCATTTAATAAGATGAGTGTGGGTAGACCGCGCTTCACATTCCGAAGTGTGTTCATGTGTTTGTACGGAAGCTTGTTGTTAGCACAAAACCTTTATGCTAGGCGCTGCTGGTGTACTAATATATCCTAACATATAAGTGTGTTACAGTGATTACGGTGAACAAAACAGTAACTCCAGTTGTCCGGACTAGGGTTCGCCCTGGTCACACGCCGTGCTGCGTCTTCTACTGTCATGTGTTTTCGAGTTCTGCTCCGAATGGATGATTATGCTCTTACAGAACGAAAGGATTTGTTTATCGAGGCGAATGTAATCAGACCACTGTACTTGCCATCAAGCTTCATCCAAGCAATATCAATGGAACAGTCGTCCGAAAACTCCCAAATGGCACCACTAACTTGTTCTGTTAGTATGTCGTAGTACGTGATTGTTCGAAACTTGTCGCTATGTTGTTCTTGATATTCCGCATAACACAATTGTAAAGTACGGTTACCTGATCACCCCGCCACAGAGGGCTCTCTATCTTCGGTTTCTGGATCAAGAGCTTTTTGATCGAGAGCATTAAACCAAGCACTCAGGGTTTAATTTCTGGTCAGAATCGGGTGGGCGATCTGACATGGCTGGCGAGCTGAATGCCTGTAATTAACTCTTGCCTGTCGACCTTAAATTTCTCGCTGGAGGATGCCGGAACTGCCAGATCGTGTACACTAAAGTCGCCTGAGATGAGAACACGACTGTATTGTGGTCGCATAACCGTCCCCAAGGCTAATGTCAAACGGGAACGAAAAATGATTTATACCTGGCAAACAAACATTGCTTGACAGTTACCGTAGGACGAATAAAGAAGAGATTATAAAATGATTGTTTAAAGTGACAGGAAAAAGGGAAAAGGCTGGTTTGAGGTGACTCTTCTAGTTATTCGCATGAACACATATGCTGACCTGCGCACCACTACGTAACGAAGAAGGCTGCTGAGCACACTGTGTTAATTCGTCCTTCGATGGAAATAGATTATGTCACATAATGTATAGGGGATAGAACAATGTACAATTGGTTTTAAAAAGCTTTAATGTGGGGACGAACATAACATTAGAAGGAAGAGCGTTCCAAGTTCTGGATACCTGAAGAGAGAACACGTTTTGTCCCCAGTCAAGTCGACTGTGGTGTGTGGTCAGTTTCAGCTGACGACCCCTCAGGTTGGCATTGGGACTGACTTGCAACCGACCGCGACAGAAGTGATTGGGATAAGTCAGTATTTGGTATACCATTAGGTCCATGCACTTTCGTGTCCGGCTCCTCAGAAATGACGAATACTTTGATTTCAGACGTATTTGCCACTATCCCCTGTGCCGTAATGGGTGACGACGTGAACTTCCTCGCTTTTGTCACAGATATATTCCGTGTAGCACATGCAGCGGAAGTGAAGCGTCGCTACGGCCAAGTAGTGCGCTTATGTTTACTCCATCAAGCACTAGCTCCTCGTTGGTGAACACAAGGTCTAAGACAAATGGTTCGTTGCCAGTTCCGAATCTCCTAGAAGCGGTGACGTGGTTGTATAGCTGTATATCGGTGATTACTTCTTGCAAGTGCGCTTTGAATTGTTCGCTGAACGAAGTTTGGACTTCGATTGCGTGCAGGTTGAAGTCACCCACCAAAAGCATGGGACTGTGTGACCATGCTATGATTCGCTTCATAGCAGACGCTAGACGGTGATCCATGTCCAGGGTAGATCTTGGAGGGTGGTAGATAATGGCAAGTAAGTACACATCCCCACATTTCAGTTGCAGGCGGCACCAGAGAGAATCGACAACTTGCGTTTCTGGATCCTGGATAATCTCGATGTGCAGGTGAGATCGGTGGTACATGAGCACCATCTCCTCTGCTGGTTCGATCAGTTCTTAGGAAACTCATGCCTGACAGGGCTATCTCAGCATCAGGGATGTCAGTACTCAACCTTATTTCAGTTATTATGATAATATCTCAGAGTGAAAGCCTGATGATTACGAAACTCGGTTAACTTGCTGAGAAAACATTAAGCGTTAGTATGAAAGCGGGTGAGGGCTTCAGAGCTTAGCAGTGTATTTGTAGTTGCGGCTTCTGGGTGGGGGTAAGGTCAGCCCTTGTGAGGTTGGCTGTCGATCATTTCGTTGTTGAACCGAAATCACCTGCCCCGGAAGCCATTCTTGTTTGGCATGTATAGTTCTTGGCATCAATAGGTGGCTGCAAACCTCAACAACCTTCAGCTCACGGAGTGTTTTGACTGCTTCCCGGTTCTGAGTGGCGTGCTTATTGGGGTCGCACACAAGGGCTGCATGTCCTGCGTCATCCAGTCAAGTTGTGTTCTGGTGTCCGTCGACTTTATGCGTATTTCGGATGTCAGCTGCTTGCGCAATTTCAGCCAAGTTTCCATGGGTTTGGTTTGCAGTGTTGCTGTAATCACTCGGGAATCGCTCCTTCTGTACTTGGGCACTCATAGCAACCGTGAGATAGACTTGGCGATCACATTTTTGATCCTAGTACTTCATGGATGAAGCACCATTAATCCCAGTCATGCGCTTTGTTCTCTAGCTCGCTTGGAGCCTGAAACTCTGGGACACCGTGGACAGGGATCAATTTTACGTCTTTTTGATTACGGTAGTCGTCAGAATATACTTTACCTTTCTGGAATTTGCTCTATGAAACATCTGGAAATATGCGAACAGTACACTTAGTTGTTCGGTGACGAGTGACTGACAAGAGAACTGTCTCTACATCATCTTCTGTCTGAAGCTTCAATTGGATTAGTCGTGGTTCACCGTAGTGTGCCGAGGTTGGATGTCAGACGACGCGCATCATATTGGACGGGTTTACTTGGACCCCATTTAATTGACAGATGAAATCGCACTGTTTCTGGTCATCTAACAGTTTGCCTTTGATGGGGTTCGCCTCGGATTCAGGAGAATTTGAACACATAACAGTAAGTGCATTATGACACAGTCCAGTGTTTTCCATTTTGCTTGAAAGTGTGGCTGCATTCCTTGGTTTGACAACAGCTGACACACTAGGTCTCTTGGTTGTAATGGTGGTCTTGTCTCATTTGTGTCCGATCCAGGAATCCCGCCATTATCTCTTCTTTGCTCCTCTCTTGGTGTGCGATGCATGAGGTGTGCTGATCCGTTTCATTGACTAGCTGAGTGTAGATATCCTAACTATTGTCGAGAAGTGGTCCAACTAAAGTTCTGCTCTCCTGTGTATACTTAGTGACTCTGCTTTGATCCGGAACTTGGAAGGAAGGCTGCTTCGGCCCGCAAACCGGCACTCCAATACCCTTGTTGTCAATTGTCTGGCTTGAAGCACCAATTTCATAATCCTCGGACCACCTTTGTAATTTGGCGATCATGCGCAGCCTCAAGCTCGTTTATCCTATAACGTTTTCCGGGGACAGTCTCTCCAATGTAGCGCCACCGTTCCTGGTCGTTAGAGGTCGCTTCGTGCTGGCTTCTGATCCGCTGCGTTGCGGCGATGGCTGTTGAGCACATAGTTTGGTTTGCGTTATTACGTTCACCGAGTGAAATGGGCTGTAGCAACTGTGGTAAGGTGGAAAGCATATCAATCTATGAGTTTGTTGAAAAGCGATAATGGTTGCAAAGGATGACATGTGTTGGAAGGGCGTGTTATCTTCGGGACACCCAAGGGAGAAGACATATTTTCGGCATGCAAGCTGACTGTAGTGTGTGGCAAGTTTGAGCTGGTGGCCTCTCAATTTGGTACTTTGGCTCAGTTGCAACAGGTCGCGACAGGCGTGATTTGGGTTTCGCAGTACTAATTAAGCTATGCTGAAATCTCCTGGCTCACACCGATATTCACTGCTTACAACTTCAGGCCTTGTAGTATGCATGACCTCGCAGCTTTTGAGACCCCTCAACGTGGAGCAAAGAAAAATGTCAAGTGTTTGCACAACTTTGTGTAGCAGGAACGATTGAAGTTACTCAGTGTCCAGTGGATGCTACGGCGCCTTCGTGGAGGCCTCATATGAGTAAACCAAATACTGAGCAACTGCAGTCACCTATGCTGCGATATTTAGCAACTCAGCCAGAAGACCAACATCAAAGGTAATCCCCTGAAATTGAATCAAAAATATAGTCGTCTAGACTGTAGACGAAATTACCTCTCCCTACAGGTCTGCCAACCCTGCAACGATCTTCCAAACTCAGTTATGTGTGTCCCTTTCATAGCCGATTTCAAAACTGGTATGATATCCTAATAAGCCCTCTACACGTTTTTCATGAACGGATATTCTGTGATATAATCAGACTTACTAGCGTCTTTATAATTATAATCCACAATGGCGCACTTAACTCTGTGCAGACGAGTGGGTAGTCCGATTTTTATTTGCTGTTCGTATTAACCATAACAATTTCTTATTGCATAGTACCATCTCACTACCACAGCCCTACTTCTATTAGCCATGACTCTATCGTCTCATTGCTGCTCATTTGATTCGGCCCAATTGTGTGATATTCGAATTCGCAGTTTCTTCTAGTAACAACCCACGGGACAAGTTAATCCTATGCTTGTTTACCCGTCATAAGCCATTGTTCTATTGTTCATACTGAATAGAATTTGAGAGAAGAAAAGTTATTTCGATTTCTATGGTATTTTTCTATAAAAAAGCCAATATTTATCATTAAATATCCTGTCTTCTATTGAGCTTAAATATCACAAATATCTTGTAGAGCGCACTTTCGTGGGTAAAAAGCGCCATGCATGTAAGTTGTTCCTAACAGAAATATCGGTTCATATTGTACGCGCTACTTTTTATCTTTCAACCAAGATCTGGCTTGGAATACCGTACGCTCGCCCGCCTACCAGAGAAAACAACCTCCGCTTTAAAAAGCCGGTTCCACCACCCTTCTCGGGGATGAAGTACGATGCCACCCGTTTCCGAAGCTCATGTTCCCAACCAGTGGTTAACCCAGACGCTCCGTTTACCACATGGTCCACTTCTCCTTACGAATGGGATCAGCGTTTGGGCCTCCAACAGACCGATGCACAACGGAATGCAACAAGTGAAGATTGTCTATACTTAAACATCTATACTATTAATGAAACTGGTTCTGGAAGTAGTAGTCATTACCCTGGTCCCAAGCGAAGATTGCCGATATTGGTGTTCCTTGATGGACTCGATCATCTCGTTGGTTCTGGCAATCGTTATCCTGGTCACGTTCTGGCACAAATGGGAATGGTCGTTGTCACTGTGAACTACCGGCTTGGCCCATTTGGGTATTTGGCCACGCGATCGCATCTAAACGGCCACACATGGGTCGACGACTCGGTGAACAATGCACATGGAAACTATGGACTCTGGGATCAAGTGGAGGCCTTGAAGTTTATCAGAAATAATGCTGCAAAATTCTTCGGCGATCCCGATGAGGTAGGTATGAGTCGACTGCTTCAATAGTGTAAGTTTGCGGTTTGCAGTGCCACGCACCGCAAACCTTTAATGTTTCCTTGCATATCTGTGAGCCTCCTACTGCACTGCAACCTCAAAACTCATTTTGTACTCTTATAAACGAACTGCTCTGCATTTGAAGGGGTTCTATGTCACGCGTATGTGTGCTGTGTCTTGGAATCAACTACGCCGTCCAAGTATCACTGAGGATACCCATTGAAAGTGGACTAATCTCCCCTCCCTTGCCCTACGCCTGACCACCAATAAACAGCCTGAATAACTCGTTATACAACATCAAACTAATTCATGTAATAACGGCTAATGCAGCAGAGTAGACATGACGTTGTTTTGCTCTCTTGCTGTGATAGCCAAGAGTGAGTAGTCCGTAACGACATCCACCAGGATCATCTTAAAGAATTTCGATATACATGGCTGGCATTGACCAAAAGTATCATCGTAACCCAGGTCATGGACATCTGCAGCCTCGTCGGTACTAACTGGTTACGCAGGGTCAGCACATTTCTGTCGGCACTGATACTCTTTCGGCGAGAAAACTCAGACTGTAGACATAACACATCCATAAGATCCCCATGTAAGTTCATGGGAAAAAGAAGACCGTTTGATGAGCAGTTACTTTCAAGGATCCATCATCAGACCAGTACAATCATATATATATTTGGCTAAAAATGGAAAGAGTAGCATTGACCAATTAGCACAGGCAACATAACAGTTTCGATCTTTCGTCTATGTTACTTGTACTAACTGGTCCATTTTACTCTTTCCATTTTAGCCCTATATATGATTGTACAGGTCTGATGATGAAGTATTTAAAACAATTGCCTACTAAACGGTCTCCTTGTTCTCATTAATATCCATAAAAGCCCCTGGTTCATCTTGCCTTCCTAAGCCCCCAGTTCGAACCCGCCTGTTTGCTGTGATCCTACCTCATCCTATGACAGGGCTGTCCAAACTTTTGCTAGGAGGGCCGCCTTTTGTGAGGTAAAAATATATCGGGGCCATATTCAGTCTGACATTAGGCTAATAACAAAAATTACACATGTACGAAGAAATCCAAGCCTGAATTTATTCTTTCATCATGAGGCAGCGGGCCAGCTAAAATGTTACCGCGGGCCTCATTTGCCCCGCGGGCAAGACTTTGGACATTCCTGTCTTTTGGGATTGTACAATCGTGTTCAGGTGGCACTCCACTACTAATCAAAACCGATTCGTTTAATTACCGAGTTCAATTTGAAAACGTTGACTGAAGTGAAAATACAATGGTAGATCAAGACAGAGCGCAGAAAACAACGAGACTACTGCTGCATTGAATACCCACGTAGTTAGCTCTAGGTCCGCCTGAAACCGAGGGTCCGGTGTCACCAAGTCACTTTCACGAAATCACTCTGACAATTCAGTGATATACAGTGGATGAGATAAAAGGCAAAACTCTGTAGTAAAGGGAAGCAAACTGTTCTTGCCTTAGTTCTTTGCAGAGAATTCGAGAGTAGTGAACACCAACCAATGCGTGCATTTTCCCACCACTTACACTGTTCGAGTGTGTTTAACGAGAGCAAAGGAAGTGGGATACCTGTTTTCTTGATGTCATCCCGTTGCGAAGAGACTGGTTCTTGCCGAATGCTGTGTCTGAGGTAGTAGAAAGTCAACGTGGCAGCGGTGTGCACGTCTTGTATAAGAAAGTACCGACTCCTAAGCGCGATGCATAAGACATGAGACCGTTGTAAAGGGCAAATACGCAGATAAGCATTAACAGTCCAATGGCTACCGAACAAGCGACGTTCAATCTTAGGCCATTTGATTTTGGTGGTGGTTCACTGAATAACAAACAGTACAAAATGGTAATTACGACATCGCTCGCTGTTGCTTTAGAGTAATTTCACGGTTCGTTTCTGAATTTTGGAAGTCATTATTTGAAAGTAGTTAGAAGTTACACTTGGAAAAACATCAATTTGCGTTGTACCCTGAAAAATACCGATGAATAAGCTGATGGAGATTTTTCGTTGGGTGCAAAAGTTGTTCTGAACTGAAAATGGTTACCATCGACGATTTACTCTCAGAAAGAGACATATACATCTTTTGCATCATCCATCGTTCACTGCGTCAGTTTGTGCGTCCCTAGCTTACACGTAGTGCCCAGGTGAAACTGCGGCTCCATTATTATACCTCCAGGGAGCTGGGTTATAACACAATACTAAACCTTTCTGGAATGCACGTTTCTCCGAATCGCAGGAAATGCGCCCAGTAATCAACCCTTTTGTACCTGCTGCTTTTTTGAAATAACTTATTTGGGACCGGAGCATTCTTTCAAGCACTAGGTATAATGGAGTTTACACCGTTACAAGTAACTGCACAGCTTTGTGCACCGCCAAAGTTGTCAGCGGTATGTAACCGTAAAGCTCCCCGAAAAGACCTGCATGGCCTCCAGTAAAATGCGGATAAGTCACTGGAGTAACTAATAGTCAAGATGACTGTGCGGTGCCGCACTTGAGTGCCCGATACCACTTTACCTTAGGAGTTCAAAGTTTTGACAGCTTGGAAGCAGAGACCCAAAATCGTTCACATGTACTTCGGGTAAATTTTCGATTGACCAGGGCTGCTTATACTGATGTTCGCAGCGTAGCCCGCACGAAGTAGCCTTCATGCTTCTAGCTAGAAGCAGGTGACTAAAAAAACCTTTCGTTCCTGGGTGGATTAACTGATGAAGGGTTAAAACTTAATAGGACCAATCAGGTTTCGCCCAGGACTCCAGTTGATACCCATATGGCTGAAGTGGGGGTTCAAAGGCTTCCCAATTTCGTTAGGTTAGCTGCAGGCTTAAAAACCTCTAACTACGCCCCCGATTAGAAGTTACACCCCCACAAATACTGCTATCTTCTACTTTTTCCTTAAACTACCAGGATCAGCTTCATGTGCTTCTTCAGCCTTTCTTGCAATATGGTCTCGAAGGGCCACGTGTTATCCTGTCCTAAGTCAATTGTTTACTGGGACGAGTTCGCGCAAAACTGAGTGATACGGATGTATCATAAAGTGAATCCTAGCGTGGCCAGGTTATGGGCTAAAGTTCAGTAGGATGTAATCTTTTTCAGTGCTCCCACCCTCAGCTAGAGGCTCCTCGATTCCAACGGTAGACGTGTTACGGCATTTTTCCCTTATCTTTCTCCTTTTAAGTGAGTGTCGAAGTTTGAGAGGGGTTACAATTTATTTTGGACCATTCGACACGCAGCTGGATACGCGATTTGTAGACTGGAGGGTCAGAAATGTAGCTTCACGGATTGCTGGCTCTCCCTTATCACGGCGCTTTACCGTCGTAATGCAAGAATGGTCTGTGCGCAGGATCTGTACTCAAACTGTGGGAACACCATTTTTACAGGCGCAGACAAATACATGGGCCAACGTTTCACCAATGAGATAAATTCTTTTAGCAATTAAGTTCTCTTCGGCTCAGTCAAGAACTTCTATTGAAACACTATTAGAAGCGTTTTTTAAACCATGTCAGACAGTGCGATCAAGGGAATCTACCAAGAGACTGGAATCATTAGGATTCACAGCACTCCAATGTAACTACTACTGTTTAGCAGGTCACCGTAAGTCCTAGTGTTGTCACTTCGGTCTACGTAATGCCTTGGTAGTATTCACAAAATTTCGTATCCACTGGAAAGCGTGAGAACATCAACCCACAAAAGACATCCTGCGCGTCACTGCTTAGTCCTAGAGGAGGAAATATGGTCATGTTGATTGCGCCTTTGAAAGTAAAACTGAAATTAAAATGACACCTGATGAACTCTAATTGTGTCACATTACGCTGGCTTTTCCCGGTATTCATGGTGGACTCCAAGTTATTCTGCTGATGTAGCACACTGTAAAAGTTTTCTGTAGGTTCAATAGTAATGATGTCAAGAAAGCAAATGTCAACTTTATAAGCTACATACCTTTTCGGTTCGGATAAAGATAGAGTGATAAAGATCTGCCAAGCAGTTGGTGCGTGCTTTAGACACTTTGCGTCGTTACAAACTACCTCCTTTGAGAAGCCTAGTCGGGTGCCGTGAACCTGAACTCAGCGACAGTTGGCTGTTTGTGTTGCGAACATCCAGGTTGGAGTACAAAATGCTGATTGAAAGTTCGCCAGTCAGATCATCGGTAGAAGGAATGGTGCTTTTATTTAGCGTTACGTAGTTAATAAGCATTCACAAAGTAGTGCATGTGTATAGCACAGTCTTACTTTTGAGCTATAACCAGTGGATGATCCCCCTCAGAGCATCGATTGGGTTCATCCAAGGTTTCGTCGAGCGCTACTTTGCAACTTTCAGTTAGGCATCCATTCACGGTCGACCATCAAGTACAAAGCTTTATGAAGCTCCGCGTTCTGCCAAGTTCATCACCATAAGCTGGTAACTACCAATGGCCTGTAATCCACCTTAGGGCTTGGAACATTGCTAATATCCTGTAGAAAATGTTGGATGTCTAGTTTTGATTGAACTGCGGCCGATCCTAGCAAGTGCCATTCAATTGGCACCCGGAAGTGCATTCACTGGCACCATGGTAATATGTCCCCTCGGAGGCTTAATGCATGTCTGCTCTTTCCAAGGCATCTCGGGGCTGCAAGTAGACTGAGATTTCGACCATATCTGTTTGAAAAAATACTAAACGTGCGCACTAATCATGCGCGGATAGAGGAGGTAGATGTTAGCTGGAAAGTCAACACGGAACCGCTGTGATAAGTGATGCGATCTCCAGTTCCATAGCTACACAGGATGGGTTGCTTTCTACCTAAATAGCCATGTGAACGTCTGACGATTGCAGCCTTGGCTCTTGAGGAAAGTAAACATTTGACGTTCGCATACACAAGTCCTACGCGCTCGGTGGTTTGGACAGTTGCGGAGACGTTCACCTTGCGGTCAATGCAAAACCTTGACGGGAGCACAACATATTTGATTAACATGACCCGAAGTACCGCATTTTATGTA